AATACCCTTCACCTTTTCAGTACATGTTTTTGAAAGTTTTACTTATGCAAACATGAAAAGTAAATACAAATGACAAAAAATGGTTCTGTCTCATCATACCTGTGACATTTATTCAGATTTGCACTATTGCAGGTTTTTTAGTTTTCCTTAAATTTTTCACCTTTATTTTTCATTCATAGGTTATTTCGGAACTTTCTGATATTAGTTGTATAGTCAATTACAACGTCTCAACAAAATAGCGGCTTCTAATAATAGATATAATTTCATAACGATCATCTAACACCAAAAATATTATAATTCGTCATTATAAAAATGTTTTTCGCTCACAAAGATATTTTTTATTATTGCAGACATTTTCATTTTGGACAGTTTTCAGACAAAAAGGCAATTGCTAAGTTCTGTCTATCTATAAATAGAAAACATGAAATGAAATGTACTAAATTGCATTACTGAATAGGGAACAAAGTAGGTTGCATATTTTTAGCACTATACTCAGTTTTAATTACTTTTCATGGTTTAAACGCTGTATTCTTTATGATGGTAAAAGTTCTAACTAAAAACGATAATTTTGGTGTCCTTCCTTGCTAAGAAATGAACCACATCACGTATTCATAGTCAATGTTGTTGTTTTATTCTTTTCCATAATGTCCACACCTTACGTGAGCCACGAGGCCGAGGGTCAAATGCATTTTATTGAAGGAATCTATAGATCTTGAGGTTTGTAAGAGAAAAGCGCTTTTAGAGGTTGAAGTAATCGCATCAACCCGTTACCCCCTACGATGATCGATATTTTACTAAGTACCATTGATTAACACCTTTGGGGTCTGAATTATCGATGTTGTTCTTTATTTTTATCTTTTTGTCTGTAAAAAGCGAGGCAAAGGGCTGGAAAATGCTATTATTAGATAGAAAGATTTGTATGTAGTATCGTAGTGCGATTGTGTAAGTGAAAGTTGGCCAGTTTTAACGCATTGGAAATCAGTATTTATTATATCCACAATAAAAGGAATTTCTTTATGAAATACTGAATAGAAAAATCGACTATGAGGTAAGGTAAAAAAATGAAAATAAAATAACTATGGCTATATATAAATAACACCATAACTAACTGCAGTCATTTGGCACCCAGGAACCTGAAGAGACCTCTGGGCTGATCAAAGTCAGGGCATGGCTAACTCGCAAATCGAACCCTAAAACAACCTCTGGGCTGATCAAAGTCAGGGCATGACTAACTCACAGATCAAACCCGCCTGAAAAACGTCTGGGGTGATCAAAGTCAGGGTTTGGATAACTTACCTGAACCCTGAAACAACCTCTGGGTTGATGTAAGTCAAGGCGCGGCTAATTCATAAATCAAACCCTAAAAAAACCTTTGGGTTGAACTAATCAAGTCAAGTCGCGCATAACTCACAGATCAAAACCTGAAACAACCTTTTGGTATTAGTCATCGGATTGCTAAGTTACATATTGGAGAGAGAGAGAAAGAGCTCAATAGGGCTGATAATATTTGAACTCAACCCAATAAAGTGTTAGAGTGAATGCATTAAGCTAACGTGTTGTCAGGCCGGGTATATTTAGGTATGGAAATTACATTCTGTTACACCGCACGCCAGATGTTTTCAACATGCCTTGAGCAAGTCAAGGCAAACTTTGACAAACGCAACGCCCTTCAATTAAAAGTACGCGCTCATTAAGCGCATGTGGCTACTGCTATAAGAAATTATCGTGATAAATGAAAAAAATAAGGAATTAATTACTCTACATATGAACAATGGCTAATTATTTCAATTAACCTAGATATAGCGAATGGTTGTAGGAATTGTAAGAGTTCATTTAATGGCAGGTGCTGGGCTTCCTGTGGTGCTACTCAAGGAATTACAGCCCGACCGTATCGTGGTTTTGCCTCTAAGAGGCAGCAGCCACAAAAACCATTAGAATTAAATTTAATTAATACTTTTAACTTATCTAATATTTTCAACTTTCATTGAAAGAACTACAAGAAAGAGTAAGTTGTTTAAGCTCAATACTTTACGATTTTCCTAACATCAATTTATTTCAATAATTGTATATTTTTTATTATGAATTGAATTTTTGGTTTTCTTTTTCCTTTCTTTTCTTTTTTTTTTTTTTTTTTTTTTTTTTTTTTTTTTTCTATGCTCGGTAACTAACAGATCAGACTCATTTAATAGCTAAATTTTCATGGAGTTATGTGATCATAAAACGCTCGTGCAAGCTATCGTCAATTATTATGAATAGTGAACATTCTTTTAGAGACTGAATAGATCCCATTCACACAACAAGTTTCAAAGCTTAACTAACTGGGAGAGATATAACTAGCTAAAAACTAATGTGAGCTGCGTCGGTGTTTCTAATGAAACAGTAATGATRAAAAGGTAAATTATACACCGTGAAAAGATGAAAAAACTTACTGACGTTTCGGACGCTAGTCCTTCGTCGGAGTAAAAGAGAAAGAAGTGGTAGAAAGGAGTGTATATATGATAGAATAAGACAAAAGAAACCAATGAGACCAAGGTAGGCAAGGAAACAAAAACAAACAATCAAAAGACAAAAGAAAAAGTTAGTTGAAAATAAAGCGTTCATTAATCCCGTTGGGACTWATGCGGCTTATTCACCTATTGGGCACTCTTAGTCCCAACGGGATTAATGAACGCTTTATTTTCAACTAACCTTTTCTTTTGTCTTTTGATTGTTTGTTTTTGTTTCCTTGCCTACCTTGCTCTCATTGGTTTCTTTTGTCTTATTCTATCATATATACACTCCTTTCTACCACTTCTTTCTCTTTTACTCCGACGAAGGACTAGCGTCCGAAACGTCAGTAAGTTTTTTCATCTTTTCACGGTGTATAATTTACCTTTTCATCATAACTGGGAGAGGTAGATTTAATCCTGTTTAACCGAAAATGGTGACCAAACAAAGAAGGACGTGAGATAGAGAAATAATAGCTTAACGAGCTTAGTTGATGTAAACCATGTATAAGTTTGTTCCTCTATATATATATACAATCAGTAGTGCCGTAGTTTATAATAACACTTCATCACTAAGGAAATGATCTCAAAAAGCTTTGGAATATATTTCTGAATCGTGTCTCCTGGAGAATATTCAGCTTTATAATCATTTATAAATTTCTCCATACAAAGTAATATTTTACAGTATTTAAGGATTATTCTTTTACAAACTTGTCTAAATGCTCAGCCAAACGAAAAAACAATATGTTATTTGCAAAGTGGGCCATTGAAAGTTAAATATACTCCAACGCTGGGGGAAAAGTTCGAAGTACATCGTCATAAAACTTGTTTATTTTTAAGTAGATTAACGCTCACTGGAAATTTTGATTTGTGTGTGTTGTTATAATCTGTAATGTAAGCCGGGTCTGTCTTTCGCTGAAAATAGAAAATTCCAGTCTGGAAAGCTGCCGGAGTTGATGAGAGCATCGCTTGGGTCTCTAGACAACAGAGACAAGAACATCTCTTCCTAGAAAATCAAACTTGCAGTACTTGGGGTCTAAGGGGGTCTAAGTATCTTAGGAGTCATAAATGAGTGAAAAAAATATATTCGTAGGTCGTGAAATTGTTGGAATAGCATCAAAAATAATTCATCAATTGACACTATAGCTGAAAGGAACTCAGGGGGAAAAAACTGACACCTCTTCTTAGCTTGTAGAGACAAATGATAAATTATTTCTATAGTTAATTCCCTAGCTAATAAATAAACTTCATGATGTAAAATATAGTTATACAAAAATCTATGGAATTGACATTTCTGAAAGATTTTCGATTCCTTTTGGTCTTCTAGCCTTGAGATTATCGCGACTGATTTAAATCGTATTGCCTAATACTCATTCATTTAGCACGTTTATGATTCACAAACCACAGCGCTATCCTATTGAACATATAACTCATTTGCAGCATATTACAATGCAGTTTAGTTTGGAGGGGAAAAAATAAGATAAAAGTTTAAATGGAATCCAGTTTTTCAAAGCCTTCAAGAGAATGCTTCGCGAAAAAAACTAAGGGCTTAATCCCAAAGYATTTTCCAATGTTTATAATGTTTTCAAAGACTGTTTCCAAAGCATTCCGAGCGTTGCTAAAAGATTAGACTAAAACCCCTATGTTGCAAGAAGGGTTGTGTCTTATTACTTGGTCTGCAAATCTAATCACCTTTATTTTCTAATTTTAAAAAAAATTTTTCCCCCGATAAATTGTAATCTTAATGTTGTACTTTAGTGTTCTGTCCTCGGCGTGACTGTTATCAAACTTCCAAGTTATATTACTTTTATTACAAAAAAAATTCACAATTTGATTCAGTAAATTTGTAATTTGTATATGCTAAAAAATCTGCGGCAGATTTAATATACAGCTTGGACTGAAATAGGATGTAAGTTGCCGACGCCAAGAATACGATTTTTTTCATGACAATCAAATAAAGTCAAGTAATCAAATTAACCCTGTTCATGAATAATTCCAGAGCTTGGCGATTACATTATTAAGCACGCGCTTATGATAGAACTATTTTACGCTTTGCTAGTACATCTTTTTTATTCGTTCTGAGGCAGAAATCAAGATAGCTAAATGCAATGTTCAGTATTGGACGTAATCAGTACTCTTGCAGCACTCGTTACGGTAACACTACGAAAACATGAGAGCATAGGAGCTAAATGGGATTAAGTGGTAAGTTGATCTTAATAATTTCGATAGAAACACGATATATTTAACATCGTGAACTAAAGATGTCGCACGTGGTGGATGATATTCATCTTTTAGTCAAAGTTTGGAACCAACGCCGGAAGATTTTGGCTTAACGGATTGGATAGAAAAGAATCATGCCATGTGGTGATGTGACCTCTCAATAGATATACCTTAAAAGATACGAAATATTCAATATTGTCAACCCGCTGGACAAGAATAACGACGACGTAGAGGGTGTGTCTGAGTGTTGTTTATGACCAAAATTAACAATGAAAGTAGTAGTGAAAAAGATAACATGGCAATAGACTCAGGCGTTGATAAAAAGGCTTAAACTTACTGCTAATCGCTTGCGGTCTACGCAGCTCGCTAGATTCTAGACCTATGTCTACAAATACACCAGGGTTAAGCATCTATTTTTCTCCGAGACGTTAGACGTCTCCCGTGCTCAAAAAACGAACACCTCCGAGGATTTAGGAGAACAGGTTCAAATAAATGGCTGTGACAAAAGCGCGGAACGAACTATAGACAAAATCCTTTCGAAGTAAGTACTTAGTCATTTTCAACTTATTAAGCTTATATATCTTATAACCACCCACACGAATGAGGTATTTAGCTAGGCGAATGGTCTTTACTCATTCAGCGATTCAATCAACTCTTTTTTCACTTGAACCTTTCGCTAACGTAGTTTATTTTTTGATATATTTGTGATATATTTTGATGCATGAAGCTAAGGTAGAATTAGATGAATTTATTCATTAAAATCTTAGTAAAATGATCAGAAAAATCATTAATAATAACTAGCAATGATTTGGAACCTGATAAAAAAACGTTAATTTAAAATAGTGAATCCCGCAACCACCAAAGTTTCTTTCTCTTTCTCTCTTTTTTTTTTCTTCCTTTTTTCTATTTATATATTTGTATTTCTTTCTGTAACACTTTAACACATCCCACGCAGTCGTTGTATCACAAGTAGATCAAAAATTCGTTTTTTTATTTTTTATAGAAGCATAACGCTTAAGGCCTTAAAGCTTGGTTCTTACTAGCGACGCAAGCCAACGCAACCCCGGGATAGCTGATGTTCTTGCTATGAAAAGAAACGACGCACGTATAAGAGAACAAAAGATTTTGTTTTTCTTGCTTTAGCTTGTGCTTATGTTTATGCTTGCGTCGGCCTGCTGAGCTAGTCAGAACACACATTCAGTTTCACAGATATATAGTAGAAACGTTTGGAGAACACGCAAACATTAGTTCTGTAATACTAGAGATGTGAATTGCTCGCGAGATGGCACCAACTTTTCCGAATCATATAATCCACTTGCTATAGAAAATATAATAGAATAATGATTTCTTTTTCCGGGTTCTGTACACGTATATATCCATTAAGTATAATAACCTCATATATGAATTCATATGTGAATTTAAGAGAAAACTGTAGGTAAAAAGCAGATTACAGTGAACGTAAATATTTGAATCAAACAAGAAAAAGTCTCTGTAAACGCTTTGTCTGTTATTTTCATCTTTACGGTATTGGTTATTTTCTAGCTTCTTCGTCTTAGAAAGTTGCACATGATATAAGCATGTAGTGGCACTGTATTGAATAAAAAAGGGACACTTAAATGACTTTTAGGACGTTTGCTTATTTCTTGGTTGTGATAAAGAAGCAAGGACAAAGACTAACCGTTCCGAAACGGTAGTTAAGTTTACCTTTTTAAAACATGCAATGTTCAAGTTACTCGTAGCCGTAAGTCCTACATATCACTATTTATGCTTTATAAAACGAAGAAACTCGATCTAGTTTACTCGAAGGTTTTTTATTAACTATATTTTTGTTTTTTCTCGTTCAAGTTTGGGCTTTTAATTACACTAGACAGATTAAGATTTGTATATTTCCTTTCTCCAAAACGACAGACATGACCCCGTTTTCATCCTTTCCCTGCATTTCACTTTTGCAAAAGCTTTCTCATCAAAGAGAAATATACTTTTATTTATAAACTACTACTTTTAGATATATTTTTTTTAATTTTTTTAGAAAATCTTAAATATTTTAACTGGTTAACTGAAGTTTCACGTTTGCCGTAAGCCGGGTATTTAGATTCTTAAACTCTATAATAACTATGTATTTATTTTTCCTTTACAAGCTGAACGTGGGATCCACTCAAAATGCTGCTTGAGGGTGCGTTGGCTGTAGTTGTAGTCTCAGTTATTGTCGTCGCTTTGAGGCGTCTTCAAAAACCACAAAATCTACCACCGGGTCCAAATCCATTACCATTGCTTGGCAACACATTAGATATCATTGGCTCCATGCCAGATGTACACCTTGGCTTTACCAAGCTCGCAAAGTATTATGGAGATATTTTTACTCTCTATCTCCAAGGTAACAGAGTCGTTGTTATCAACTCAGCTTCAGTTGCGCGAGAGGCATTGATCTTACGCAAGGATGATTTCTCTGGCCGGCCTTACAGTTTCATCGGTGATTTCCTTACCCGTGGGTCTAAAGATTTGGCCATGGGAGATTTTTCACCGACTCTGATTTACCAAAGGAAATTAGTTCACACAGCTTTACGATTGTACATGCCACATCTGGAAGATGCTCTGTGTGCGGAGATTGATGACCTGGCGAAGAGGCTGAAGGCATCAAACGGGAACCCAATTGATCCAAAAAATGACGTGTTCCTAACAATCTTGAATGTCATTTGTAAGATGGTATTTGGGGAGAGTTTTATCATGAGTGACCCTGAGTTCTTGAAGATCGTGGAGTACAATCAAGTGGGGTTCCGTTTGCTGAGCCCTGTTTCAATGTTCAACATGTTCCCTTGGATGATACACCTTCCTATCCAAACCGCGCGGGATTTTTACAGAGTTCGCGACCTGCAGAACGAAATTCTTAATCCCAAATACCTCTACCACAAATCAACCTATGACAGCACTGTTATCAGGGACTTGACAGATGCTCTCCTCAAAGCAAAAAGTGAAATTGAAGAAGAAGAAGAAGAAAACAGAATCAGCCACGTGATCTCAGACGATCATTTGATCATGACAATTGCTGATGTGTTTTCCGCTGGAGCAGAAACCATGACAACGACAATCCGCTGGCTCATTGCATGCTTAGTTAACTTCCCGGATGTACAAGCAAAGGCACAATCAGAGATTGACAACGTGGTTGGTCGAGAAAGACTCCCCACTCTAGAGGACCGGAAAAAACTTCATTATCTTGAAGCTGTACTCTCTGAAACACATCGTTTCTGCACAGTAGCTTACTTGAGTTTACCACACAAAGCTACTCGTGACTCGACACTCAACGGGTTTCATATCCCAAAAGACACAGTAGTGATGTTCAATGTATGGGCAATGCACCACGACGAACGAGAATGGGACAGACCATATGAGTTTAATCCCAGCAGATTTCTGGACCCCAAAGGGCAGCTTATTGATATCGCTGGGATTAAGAGCTTTCTGCCATTTAGTGCCGGACGAAGAGTTTGCAGTGGCGAGTCACTGGCCAAGAAGGAACTCTTCCTTGTTGTGTCAAGACTTCTTCATCAATTTACATTCACAAATCCTCCAGGGTCGCCTTTGCCTGAGCTGGTGGGAGAGGTAGGGATGAATCACTTTCCAAAACCATTTCAGGTTCGTGTAATTGAGCGTTATTAGTTAGACGTACTAAGTAGGCGTAGGTAAGATTGGCTATTTCCCCACTTTAAGCCACGTGTCAATCCCTTGAAAACCATTTTTTGGTCTAACACTAACGTTGAAGAACGTGTTTTATATTGCACTTCGAACAAATAATATTGCTCTCGATGGAATGACATGTGGTCTAATTAGCATTAATGGATAGCACTGGAACTTAGTAGAATACCAGTTTACATGAGAAAAAATTCAAAACTAGAGTATCTCTAGGAATAGTATATTTTCATCATTGTTCTGCGATCAAACAATCAATCAACTTTATCTAAAGAGGGTGACGTATTAACCCAGTGAGTTATCTAACACACGGCCCTCAACATGGTCACTGAACTTCCAACTTAGTTTCCTACCACTTAAAACCAAAAATCTTTTAATATTATGTAAATAATCTATGTTTTATACTTACAAAGTAGATTTTCTTTCGCTCTTTGACCAAAAAGCGAAAAACGAATAGAAGCTTTGCACCATCATGTGATGGCGAAGGAAGCCATAACAGGAGTGTTTATATGAGAAAGGATTCAGTTTCCGAAACACACAAAAAGACTCTATTTTGTGCCTTCAAGCCGGTTGCCATCACATTATGGCGCAAAGCCTTGTTTTAGTGATAAAATACGAGAAAAAACAATGGATGCTGTTGGTATCCTATGAAATATCCCTTAAAATTGCTGGCGCATGATAGAACAAAAGTCGCTTTTATAACATCTTGCATTGCCAAAGAGTGACCACCAACGTATTTTCAAGATTTTCCAGCAAATATTTTAATAAATTTGAATGGCATTTCAAACTTAAGCCATGAACGATATTTATAACGTTTTTTCAAGATGTTTCCATCACTATATTCGGTAGCACTTCCATACCATGCAAGGGTGAAAAAGATTAGAAATTTTTCATCTAACCGGTACTGTTTTGCTCTGTCTACCGTAAAGATAGGGTGACTCTAATGCTTGTTTTTATCAAAAGCTTTCATTTCGCATTCTCCATTTAAAAAATTAAGCGTTAGCCTAAGCAGTAGAGCCACCTGACTTAATGTTAACGAAGCTTTTTCGAAGGTGTTTGAAATGGAGGTACTGAGGGTGACCATGGTGCTAGGGAAAAAGGCTTTGGTTTTCTTTCCACCGTGGACACCACAACTAATAAGGCGAACAAGTTAGTCCCAGCAGTAGAATCAATGCACCTTAATGTTAACATATCGACTAATGGATCTAAAAGGATCTAACCATTTTTCTTAACTGTCTTTCATTCATACATGCGTGGCATAACTAAAACAAAGTTTATTTTCCCCTTATTTTCTCCTCTTTATTCATTCAACTTTTTTCTTAACCTTGTCCCATTGTTTTTTTTTGTGTGTGTGTGTGTGTGTGTTTTTTTTTTTGTTTGTTTTTTTTGGTTTTTGGTTTTCATGTTTTTTCATTTACTTATTCTTTCTTTCATTCCTTCCTTCAGTCCTTTTTTCTTCCTTTCTTTCCTTCCTTATTTTTCTCAGTTTATTTTTAAATCGATCATAAACAAGAATTTTGAAATACAGTTCTTCAACGTTTATTGAGGTCATGGTTTTAAAAAGATAAAAGAGAATTGAGGATAGCTTGATTTTCATCCAACAGACGAAGAATAAATCAAATGAAGCTTTAAAATAATTAAATGCAAAAAAAGAAAACAAGGCTAGCTATATCTACACGCCTTCCTCGACATTGCGCTGCTGACGGCTACAAAGGTGTGACTGTACTCTGCACTTTTTCTTAATCTAGAATCTATGTGCGATAAACGCGCTTTCAAATACTTTCTTCAAATTTTCTTTTCTTTTTTTTTTTTTTTCGGCACCTTATTGGGTTGTGCAAGCCCGAGAGCTAGCTAGGTAGCCCATTCAATCCGACTTTTCGGCATCATATTAGTCAGGACACGAGTGAAAAACGTCTGCGCATGCTCTGAATCTGTATGCAAATTAGTCAAAACATGCCTTATAAATTGGATTTCACAAAATGCCAAAACTTAGTGTCCATGCTTGGAGCTGAGATTATAAGGTTTTCCAAAGTTTTCCAGATCGGAGGTAATACTATTACTAAATTAGTCAAAACGTCTTCATACTATTGTAAAAATATGTAAATTTTTACTTTCAAACATGACTGATAAATTGGACTTCGCAAAATACCAAAACTTAGTGTCCATGTTTGAAACTTAACGTTAATTCTTTCATATTGTGTATCTTGTATACAGTATCTTGGTCTGACAAAAGTATTCTCGCGAACTTTTTTGTATACTTGGAGAAAACAAACATTTATTTTCTCACTCAAACTCTTCAAAATTCTTAGGAAACGTGCTGAAGTGCACGCATGCGCAAACGTTTTTGGTGTCATTGGTCAGAGCACGGAATGTTCGTGTCATCAATTTTTCACAGTCATACGAAATCTGTTCTCAAACAAATGAAGGTATACCTAGCTAAAATAGCATTATATAGAAATAGGTTTTTAGTTTGACCATAGCTTTTAGTCGATATTATCTCCGTTTTCGTTATTCCGAATTCTCAACCGAGGGTCTAATTGGCCATTTTAGAAACGAGTGAAGGACTGTGAACGAGTATATGAAAAATATTAATTTTTAAAAAAATGTACATTTTTCTAACTTGGTTAATTCTAAAAACTTGTTCCCAGTCCTCAACTCGTTTCTAAAGTGGGCAATAAGAGTGTCATAGACACTTTGAATATACACCTATTTCAAAAAACGTTGGCGATACGCGATAGGCCATTCCAACATGGAAATGGTTTCGTTGAATACAAAGAACATTGAATCAGTCTCAACACTAAGGTCCATGTTTTTGATGAGAATAAGAAGCAGAAACACAAGTCATTCCAGCTATTCTTGGATCTTGATAAGACCTATCGACTATCGCTTTTCGCCTATTGTCTATTACCTATCGCCTTTGGCGGTGACAACGTTTATTGAAATAGGTGTATGTACTACTCATATGTAGCACATCTAAAGCCTCGCAATTAAATACTTTTTTTTTTTTCACGAACACAAGGGAGACGTAGTACTTATCTGCATATGAACAACACATTTATATGCAAAGGGTCTATTACTAAGTATTAAAGATAATAGCTGTTCCTGGGTTTTACTTGACATCATTTCCTGTCACATGTGGTATGTTCATCAGCTGAATCACAATAGAATAGCTTTCAATAGAATACTCCAGTTTCGAGTTCTCTTTGCTCAGTCTCGTTTGTGCGTTATAACATTCAGCTATTCAACCAAAACCCGTGGCATTTTAATCAACTCGTATTGTACCGTAGTACGTACATTCCTTACTATAAAATGGACCTTAATAAAAGAAAAGAACACATTTGTACACAATCGAGGCGAAGACTGAGCAAAGGTGAACTCGAAATGGGAGAATTCTTTCTGGTCGACAGTACAATTTGGTCATGATTTGGCTACTAATGCAGCTCATTTTTACCAGCTGATTGAAACCCGTTAGAAAAAGACATCGTTCGCTTTTTCTATATTCTATGTTCGCTTAATAATAACTTAATAATTCCGTAAAACCCAAGAGTTTATAAAATAGACAACAACAAACATAAAATATTGTTATTAGGATTAATTAAAGATTATTAAGATCATTAAAGATAATTATTAAGATAAATAATGACAGTGGTTTCATTTATAGATCCTTTGTAGGATTGGATTCCCAGAAAAGATGGAGGTCAAAACAGAACACATAAAACCTATAGAGACAGTCTCAATTATTATATGAGTTTTAGGCCTTTTTACAGCTGCAAAAATACGCGCTTCTGAAGTAAAATGAATAAAAAATGAAAGCATCCTGCTACATTTTTTGCATTTCAAACAATCGATACACAGTAAGATGTTCACGGATGTGTGCAATTAATTAATCGCACGCGCGTGCTCTGTACATGTGCAATTACTTAATTGCACGGATAAAGAAAATATCCACAGCCAATCAACCAATCATAATCAAGTATTTTATGTAGATGCGGTATTAATAACTAAATCACACAAAAGTATATGAGATGAAACAAAATTAATGTAAATCTCAAAAACAACCAGTCCAGAGGTTGAGGAGCCCAAGATTTGATGGCTTCATCTGTTATGATTTCCACTGAGACCGGCTTGACCGATGACCGTGTGGTTGCTGGCTTGATAACTGAAGTAGTTGGTAATAATACTTCTGGTAGAAATAAGAAATGGAAAAGTTTTCTAGACACAGTCACTTCGTATAAACCAAGGGGATCTCAGCGGTATCATATGTGAATAGAGTTACGATTCGAGCTTTGTTTTTGCTCGGTTCTCACTTTATCCTACCTCCGCAAAAAATACAATAGTAGTTTATTCCTAAAAAAACCTAGCAATTTTAATTTCATTTCGATATTTGAAGCGATACTTTGTTTACAAAACAAAACCAAAACAAAACCACAAAGCCATTGTGATGTCGGTATGCCAATTATTCTCACAAAAGCTCGTCACGAGTTGCTTTGTGTCACCAGCCAATCGATCTCTAGTTGGCACATGAATTACGAAGGCTTGTGTCTCATAAGCTTTAGGCCCCGTCCACACGTATCCGGAAATTTTTGCATCCGCAATTTATTTATTTATTTATTTTTTTCGGATACGGGTTGCGTCCACACGTGTCCGCAAATTTTTGTATCCGTATCCGCAAATTTTACGAAAACGGATACGTGTGGACGGTGAAAACGATTCGAATACGCTGCGTGTGGACGCAAACATTTTCGTATCCGCAAAAAATAATTTGCGGATACAAAAATTTCCGGATACGTGTGGACGGGGCCTTAGTAATTGTGCTTATTGAAGATCAGCCAAGAGGTTGTTTCAGGCTTTGATCTGTGAGTTAGCCACTTAGATCAGCTCAAAGGCTGTTTCAGGGTTCAATCTCTAAAATATCCCTACACTTGCTTTGTTAAGCCCAGAAGTTTGAGGTTATTTCAGAGTTGATTTTCGATAAAGTTCCTAACCTTTGGTTATTAGTACATCAACAGTGTGGTCCTTTCTCTCGCCCATGACATTTCCATATAAGGCTTGACACGTGAACGTCATTCTACATCTCGACGTTGATTGGTTAACACTAACGCAAGGATAATGTGATAGGATATGAGAAGCTGATGTGTAATTCACTTGTAGTTTACTGATGACTTGACCTCTGTCATAAACATTTCCACTGGATTTGTTCGTGACGTCACCACCAGATGAAAACCACTTGAAATGAAGGTTAGAATCAGCGGTTGCCAAGCAACGAATGGTCACGTGAGAAGACGGTAAAGCCAATATATTTCCAGTTATCGTGCTGCTCGTTAGTTTTGGTGGTGGAACTAATGTATCGAAAAAAGAAATACAATTTAAAGATTTTCAATCAAAAGTAGCCCAAATATCGCCCAAATGGTTTTGCAAGAAGCTTGGGAGTTCTCAATATGGCTTGGATCATGGTGCAAGTGTTGGATATGAATGTTTCCCATGACCCATACCAATGTCAGCTGCATGTCTAGGTTTTTACTGACTAAGAGAAGACATCAACTGACAGTTATCCTATTATGTTTTTTGAAAAAAGAAGATGATAGACAGACAGATATTTTATAACGAGTTTTGCACTATTGTAAAGTACATCAACTCCAGTCCAAATATAAAAAAATACGTGGATTAACTAATTATACTGTAATGAAATTTTATTTAACAACATACTAATTAATTTAATGTATATTATGTTATTGAAATAAAAGCAAGCTCATCTCATAAGATGTTTGAAACACGTTATAATTTTTTTTTTATTATCTCAATAATACTACTTATTTTGCTTACTTGTGTATCATGGATTATTTGTAAAAAAATTTTTCAATATTCTAAATTCTCAAACTATACTTATTCACATTTTTGTAACACTCTTTTCCGCTTCTTTCAACCATATTTTTTCCTAATTACTACTACTAGGGTGTAGGAAGCTTCTTCATTAACCCTTTGGGTTGTATTCCTGCACTCTACCACCATAATAATTTACCCTTATGTTTTTTCATGTATTATTTTATATTGTTGTAAGTGGAAATAAAAGACCATGAACCTTAATACTCTGAAGTCCATTACGTTTTGAAATCATTTCGTAATGTGAAGCATTTGTATACATATTTTGCTACTATTTATTTGTAATTTACGGGAAGGATCAATCAATAAAAGAAAAAATAAATGATCCCCATGTAAGGCTGCTAGGTTCCTATCAATTGAAATCATGTCGCTACGAATTTCATCCCTAAATTAAGAATCGGTAAGTATGCATGTCTTTCGTCTTACA